AGTGCTAGCCTTGAGCTGAAGAGCTGAGGGACAGCGCCCAGGCCCAGAATTCAGGCCCATGACCGACAAAAAAGAAAGGAAAAAAAGAAACCACCACTCACCCAGCTTTCCTCTGCCTGTGTAAGTAGGGGAATATGACAATGCCCGCTTCAAGGCCTTGCCATGAGGATTGGAGAGGTCACATTGACACCACCCCTGTGTGCAGTCAGGTTGTGATCTGCTGCTGGTCTCCTGCTCTCAGAGCCATTGTAGCTTTCCCTTCCAGCTCTCCCAGCTGTGTGTCCTGGGCAGAGCTTTGATTACCCTGTAGTTTGGTTTTTGTCTTCGTGATTCTCATTTCAAGGCTGCCCATTGCAGGTGGCAAAAGAAAGCAGTAAACAGCCTCCTCCTGTTGTTCTTGCCCCTCCCTCCCCTCTCCAGGTTTATACTTAGTGTCTCCAACTCTGAGGGTCTCTGAATACCAAGTGTCCTCAAAAGTCAGGTTTAATATAGAAATGACCTTGACCCCATCCAGGCAGACGGATTGGTGGCACATTTTGTGCATGCACCTCCCCCGCTCTCAATAGCAAGCAGCAAACTCCCCACCCACCACCCCTCTTGGCTGGTTGCTTCAATTTTACGTAGGCCTATTGTTTGAAGAATGAAGCCAGCCCCCTGTTTACACAATTGCCACTGTCCTTCAAAACTACACTGGCAGCCGAGTGCCAGTGGCTCATGCCTGCAGTCCTAACTACTCAGGAGGCTGAGATCTGAGGATCGCAGTTGGAAGTCAGCTCAGGCAGAGAAGTTCATGATGCATTGACCTCCAGTGAGCCAGCAAAAAGCTTGAAGTGGAGATGGCTCAAGTGGTAGAGTGCCAACCTTAGGTAGAATAAGACGAGAAAGTGTGAGACACTGAGTTCAAGTCCCAGTACTAGTATACACACAATAAACACATGCATACATGCACATATATATGTATACATATACATACGTACATACCTATGTAAATACATTTTGCTCATGATTTAGTCCTCTGGCTCATTCACAGCCTGGGTTACCTACCCATTGGTGAAGAAGTATGAAGTTAGGGCTGGGCAAAGAACAGTGTTCTAGGAGTCAAGGCCCACTGGCTAAACCAACGAAGTCACTCTTCATTCCCAGTTTCCCCACCTGTAAAGTGAGGAGGATGAGCCCACATGCTTGTAAAGTCCCTTTCACGGAATGAGCATCCACGTTTGCTTCAGTGCAACCTCACCCCCTCACTCTTCAAAGTGGTTGTGCTCTTCTACATTCCCTGACATCTTAGTTGATCCGTGTCTTTGTTTAAGCCAGGGGACAGTTCACAGCTGAACCCTGAGCTGAGAGAGCATCCAAGAACGTCTTGAACAATCGGAAGCTCCATCTCATGCAGTGTTTACAACAGCCCTGAGGTCTAAGTCTCCACTTTGTAGTCAAGAAGACTGAGGCTCTAAGCGAACACACAAGTTACTGGAGATCATACCATCAATCAATAGTTGGGCTAGCCTTGGAACCTCTAACCTGCCTGGCCTGTCCTTAGCACTTGTGGAGCTGGGATCCGGGAAACTGGAGGACCCATGGCAGGGCATCGAGGCTGCCAGTCCATTCCATCTGTAAGACACCTGCCTCTGTCCTGCACCCCCAGCTCCCTCCCTCCACTCCCTCCATTAGGCTGTGTCTCTGCTCTTCTTCACAGGGAGAACAACTTCATCAAAGACTTTCCCCAGTTGGCTGATGGGCTGCTGGTGATCCCACTGCCAGTGGAAGAGCAATGTCGGGGGGTCCTATCTGAGCCGCTCCCAGACCTCCAGCTGCTCACTGGTAAGACTTACATCCAGACCTTTCCAGGCTGGCTCCCTGACCACACAACATGCACATACATCAGTCTTGAGCAAATCCAAGATGGGTCTGACCACACCTTCTCATTCATCAAGGATGGGATGGGCTAGGTACCTGTGGCTCAGCCTGGAACACAGGCTGAGATCTGAGGACTGAGGTTCGAAACTAGCCTGGATTAAAAAAGTTTAGCAGATACTTATCTCCCCTTAACCAGCAACAATGCTGGAAGTGAACTGTGGCTTACGTGGTAGAGCACCAACCAACCTTGAACAAAAGAAGCCAAGGAAGAGCTCCAAGCCCAGTGTTCATTTTGTTCATTTTCTTGGGTTCTTCCTATGACCTGTGTAGATTAAGAGTCTTCACCGAGGACCGGGAACACACATCAGCCTTTCTCACTGGGAGCTTGTCACCTAGCCAACATCTTTCACTGTCTTGACAACTTCCTCAATTTTTATTCCTTTTTTACTTTCAGTACCTTTTTGTGCTTTCTTGGTGCATTTTAAAAATCATTCTAAAGTAAAATCAGTGGACTCTCCAACCTAGAGTGTTTCCCCTTGAATTTTAGTTTATGTATGTGGGCACAAGCCATTTGTTAAGAGGGTTTTTTTTTTTTTGGTTGTTTTGTTTTGGTTTGGGTTTTGGTTTTTGCTGGTCCTAGGGCTTGGACTTTGGACCTGGGCACTATCCTTGAGCTTTGTTTCTGCTCAAGGCTAGTGCTCTACCACTTGAGCCATAGCCTCACTTCTGGCTTTTTCTGAGTTGTTTATTGAAGATAAGAGTCTTGTAGATTTTCCTGCCCAGGCTGGCTTTGAACTGTGATCCTCAGATCTCACCCTCCCTGACTAGCTAGGATTACAGGCCTGAGCCACCAGCACCCAACTACGAGGGTATTCCTGTCCCAACTTGTAGATATGAAGGTACACTCAGAGCGGTGAAGACTAGCCCGGCATCACACAGCACCTATGCTGGGACTGGGCCTGTCCTTTGCATTGTCCATGCCCCTGGCACTCCCTCCCCCTCAACCTCCCTGTTTCCCGACTGGACAGTTGTATTTTGTAGGCTCTCCTGAGCCTTCAAAATCCTGACCCTCACCCCAGGATGCCTTTCTACTCTTGGTTGTTGTTGCTGGGGTGTGTGTGTGTGTGTGGTGTGTGTGTGTGTGTGTGTGTGTGTGTGTTTCTCACTTCCTCTTGATTCTTAGCTTTGCCATTGGGTATTTGTGTGGCACCACTGACAGAAGATAACGGCCACCCCCATGGAAAATTGAGAGAAGGCAAGACCACCCCCCATCACTTCACAAGCTCTGGGGAGACCTCATACAAATTGTCAGACTTCCATATGCCTCTGTGGTAAAACAGCAAACAGCAGTGAACCCACATGGGTCAGGGCCTCCGACGGGAACCACTCTGGTATGCACAAACCCACAGGATCTTGCAAGGGTGTGATGCTTCCTATAAACCAGTTCAACTCTTCCTATAAACCAGTTCAGCTCATATATTCCTTTAAAGGCAACATGAGTAGGCTATAGACATATCATCAGAGACTAAACTGAGATGACCTGAATTCCAGAGCAGATACTTTACCCACTGTCCCCTGTCTTATATTACCACCCTGGCTTGTCTAATTCCAAAAAGGATGTAAATGAAGTCATAGATGTTAAAAAAAATGCATTGTTAAATGAGCCTAGAAACTTCTAGGCTTCCCTTGATTTTTTTTTATATAACATCATAGAAATCCCAAGCTGACATGAAATACAAAGGCATCTAGCTGGATCTTCCATACTAGTGAGGAGTCGGGCCTACAATATGCCCATTGAGTGATGGTCCCTTATTGGATGCCCTCGGGGGTGGGGAGTTCATCTCCTCTAAGAACAGATGGGCTCATGATAAATGCAGAGCTACTGTCCTCTGATGAAAAGTATTTTGGACCAATCATTGATCATTCTTCAACAGTTTCCCCTCTGAGACTTAGAGTATAAACAAGTCTTTTGCCAGATTATAGTGAGAAATAGAGACTGTCGGTACACATATACATATATGTATAATGCTTGGTTTATCATGATTCTCTGGCCATGTTACAAAATGATATGATTACTTGTATTGACTCAGGAATCTTTTGGTTTTGAGACGGAGACTCTATGTAACCCAGGTTGACCTCAAATTCATCATTTTCCTGCCCTAGTCTCCCAAGCGCTAAGATGTATAGGTGTGTACCACAGAGATATTTGAAAGTGTTCTAGTAAAAGATTTGCTATAGTGTCTTGGTTTATTTTTATTTTATTTTCTAACTGAATTGCCAAAAGGAAAAAACAAAAAACTCCCTACCTCAGCGATTTATTCCACTCACCTCTCCACAGGTGGAGATCTGGAATAGAGTCGGCCTTTCTGTGGTCAGGAACAGTATAAGATGAGGGACGGCTTTATGAAGAAGAAGGGAAAATGTGACCACCGGCCAGTCTATAGGTTTTTGAAAGCCTGCAATAAGCAGGCTCTGCTCTATACCCTGTTTTAGACAGATGGGAATAATCTTAACAGTCTACACATGAAGCTTATACTTCAGGCTTGAGTCTCAGACATCTGAGAGATGTAAAGAAGTAGGAAGTAGATGCTGGCCACTTATGGGAGAGAAGCAGGGATATAATGAAGGGCAGAGAAAGCAGATTTTTTTTAAATAAAGTATTTGTCAATCAAGAGAACATGGTTCCCTATTCTGGGCATCATTCCATCAACTGAAAGATAATAAAAAACTTATACTATGTCAAAATAATAAAAAAAAAATCCTGTATCAAAATGGTCAACTAGCCAGGCACCAATGGCTCGTGCTAATAATCCTAGCTATTCAGGAGACTGAGATCTGAGAATGGAGGTTTGAAGCCAGCCAGGGCAGAAAAAGTCTATGTGACTCTTATCTCCCATTAACCAACAAAAGGCTAGAAGTGGAGGTGTGGCTCTAATGGTACAGCTCCAACCTTGAGCAGAAAACCCTGAGGGATAGTGCCCGGGCCCTGAGTTTAAGTCCCTCCCTCTTTTGGAGATAGGGTATTGGTCAGTAATGCCCCCACCACTCAGCTGCGGGCTTGGATAAGCAGTGGTGAATGGGGGACTGAAGCTCCCTGACACCTGAAGTTAATGTTTATAACACTTTCTCTGCCCTGAGTTAGAACCACTACTCTGTCCTCCCTCCCTCCCTCCCTCCCTCCCTCTCCTAACTGCTCTCCTTTTGTCTCCAGCCTCTGCAAAGAAAAGGCAAGAAAGACAGAGGAGATAAACAGTAAGGACACATTTATAACCAAGCAGCCTTGCTCCAGTGGACATATCTTTGGGGATCATGAATATTTTTACTTTAAAATGAAAGCCTCTAAAAATTATATTATTCCTGAAAAGCAGAGAAGGGAAAAAAAAGCTGACAGTAATGGACAACTTTAATTCTATAGTAATGTCCAAGAAGAAATCATTTGTTCCAATGAGAGTCTCATTTTAATCTTGGTATCAAATTTCTCTTTAAGTGCCTCCTCACTGGGGGACTAGAGGAGAGGAGAGGAAATGTGCCTGTTATTTGCAGAGGCTCAAGGAAGCATGGATTCATAACAACAATAATAATAACTGCTGACGTGAGGAGAATTTCTTTTCGAAAGTGTCATCCTGATTATATACACACACACACACACACACACACACACACACACACACGCGCGCACACACAGCAATTCCAAAGCTTAGGGTAAAGAATTTTTTAATGAAAATAGATATAAATCAGAGCGTAAGAATTTTTTCATACATCCACTACCCAGTGTTAACCACTTGCAAAACGTTTTGTGGTGGTTTCTCTTTATTTTGTGGTTGTTTATAAAACGTCTGTGTTTTCTAGAATGTGGTCTGTGGAACCTGTGTTCTACTGATCCACCCGTGTGAAAAGGATTCAGATACATTTACACAGTACTTTCACTGGAGCCTTAAAATGACTATTTGTTTATTTAAGTGGCTGATCATTAAACATGTTAATTGGTTGAGCTAGTGTTTCCCACTCTTTCACTTGAAATGGAAACTTCCAAATGGGTCTGCATGTGTTTTACATAGCACCATGTTAAGAAACAATGGTCTCCATCAGGGCTAAGCATAATCTGAGATGGTTCCTACCTGTTAGGTAAAGGGGAAGGCTTAAGAGAGAAATCGCAGAGGTGTGGCCGAGATCAAAGGCATCCAGATAAAAATGGCAGACCCCAGTGGAAGCCTGTACCCAAACACTGGGCCTCTGTGACTCAGAAGAGGTGATCATCCACCATCCAGAGCTCAGAGCTTGCAGGACGGCCATTGTGGTCCAGTTGTGTCCATTTCTGTGTTCATGTGTCTTTGTCCTTTCTCCCCCCGCCCCACCCACCTCCAGGAGACATCAGGTATGATGAAGCCATGGGCTACCCCATGGTGCAGCGCTGGCGGGTACGGAGCAACCTCTACCGTGTGAAGCTGAGCACCATCACTCTCTCGGCAGGTGAGGACCATCGCCTGGACACATAGGGGTAGCCAAGAGGATTTGGAGTGACCCCCGTTCCAGGTACCCAAGGATCTAAGGTTATGTGCCAAGCCCTGGCTGGCACAGGGCATGCCAAGAGAAGAAAGGTAACTGGAGAGGAGAGCAGGTTCACCCGGCAGACAGTGAGATCCATATGGTATGGTGAGGTCAGCTCCAGGATGAGAAGGCCAAGACCCAGTTGGAGAATGAGCTTCCTGGATGCAGGAATATCTGGGCAGGCTGTGGCAAGACTGAGAGCCGAGAGAAGATGGATAAAACCACAGTGTGAATCCTGTTGGTCCCCTGGAAGGAGAACCGTGGCAAATTCTTCCCTGGAGCTAATCCCCAGGTCCTCTCTATGAGGACAGCACATAGCCCTCCCCCTCCACCCCCCATCCCCACCCCCCACCTGACCTTGGGGACAATTTGTCTTCCTCAAAATGAGACACCTTTGCTCACAACGGTGGTTTTGAACCTCTAGATTCCCTCACCTGTTCTCCTTGCTCAGGGATCCTACGCCAAACTACTCTTTGTTACCTCTTCCAATCTTCTTTCCCCTTCAAACATAGCAAGAAATTCCTGTGCTAGGATACCTCTAGCCAAGCACTAACAGGTGCATGATTCATAACTTAATCTTTAAAAAAAAAATTCTTGCTGAGCACCGGATGGCTCAAGCTTGTCATCCTAACTACTCAGGAGACTGAGATCTGAGGGTCATGGTTCAAAGCCAGCCTGGGCAGGAAAGTCAGTGAAACTCTTACTCCAATTAATTACCAGAAAACCAGAAGTGGTGCTGTGGCTCAAGTGGTAGAGGGTTGGCCTTGAGCTGAAGAGCTCAGGACAGTGTCCAGACCCAGAGTTCAAGCCCCACAATGGACAAAAAAAAAAAATATTTTATCTTTATTGGTTCAACACAGAGATTCAAACTCTGCCTGATGCTCTTTGGCTCATAGGCTGGCACGCTACCAACTGAGCCATGCCTCCAACCCCTCATAACTTAATTTTGACTATCTCCCCCACTGACCTGACTGAACACTGAAGTCAGTACCTAGGGCTTGTGTATTCTACTCTCCTGAGAGCTTAAGGCAGAATCAACCCAAATTGGACATTATGTTTGATGAAAGAATTAAAATAAATAATAAATGAAAACCAAAAAAAAAAAAAGTGTGTCGAATGACAAGACCTGGTGTAGGGTTTTCTGGCTGGCTGACTCATAACCCTGCCACTGGTTTATTTGTTTGTGTTGGCCCCTAATTAGCCCTGAGTTATTGTCTCATTTTTTTTTCCTTAAACTTCTTCCATGTATTTTGTTCATCAGCAAAACGGAGCTCTCTTAGCTTGGAAAATTGAGAGCTTTCCCTTCTGAGAGTAATTATTGCTGCTGTTAAGTACTTTATAATGTTTCATATGTTATGCCTTAAAACAGTCCTACAAGAAAAGCATTATTTAACCTATTTTTTATTTCAAACCAGGAAACTGAAGGTCAGAGAGGTTAAGTAACTAACCCCAAGATGCACAGCTAGCAAGTGGCAGATTAGGGAAAATAACAGGGATTTGATTGCATTTTGGGGGGGGGGTCTGGCCATGGGGCCTGAACTCTGGGCCTGGGCGCTGTCCCTCAGCTCTTCAGCTCAAGGCTAGCACTCTACCACTTGAGCCACAGCGCCACCTCTGGCTTTTTTCTTTTTGCTTATGTGGTGCCTAGGAATCGAACCCAGGGCCTCATGCATGCAAGGCAAGTGCTCTACCACTGAGCCACCTTCCCAGCCCTTGATTGCATTTTTTTAAAATCTTCCTGGATAAAGATCCACAGAGCACCTCCCAGGCACTGTTATATATTACTTAATAGAAACCATGGCATTATTAATCCTGCTGAATTAATTATCCAGTTGCATGAGTTAATAGGCGATAGAGGTTATTCTAATCAAGTACCATTTCTTTGAGCCCTTTTTCTGTTTTCCCACCACCCCTTCACCCTGCACTTGCGAATGAAACTGTGAAGTTCCTATTAGGACTACAAAGGTGTACTGCCTTAATTAATCAGTAATGATGCTCCTGGAGCCCCCTTGTAAATCAAATGTTGGCAAATTGGAGCTCATTGTGGATGTTGGAGAGATGCATGCTCCACAATGCGACACAGAATTGGCTGCTGTGCTGGTGGTTGTGGCTGGTGTGTCTGCTGTGATCTAGGGACTGAGCGGGGAAGGTGGCTGGGGCAGGTCATGGAAAGAGGAGGCTGCACAGGTGTAGAGACAGCTGAGGTGGGGCTTCCACCTGCCAGGTGATAGAGCTGGAACTACAAAGAGCAGGTGCTCAGCCCCGAGCCTGAAAGGCTTCCTGTGGAAGGGTGAGTTTCAGGGCCCTGAGGAGGAATGGACTTGGGCACTGGGGGAGATGAGCATGTAAAGGAAGAAGGAATGTCAGGTTGCCTTCGAGACAAAGGCTGGAGGGAAAGCTTGGTATGTGAAGCTTAGGAGAAATGGTCCTGCAGGTCCAAAGGCTCTGGAATTCATCCAAGAGCAGGCAGGAGTTCAGGCAGGTCTGAAGAGTAGGATGTGAGCTGGGCACTCCAGCTCCTAACCAATCAGGAGCTGAGAGCTGAGCCGTGCAGTAAAAAGCCAGCTCAGGCAGGAAAATCCCTGAGATGTTTACCCTCAATTAACCATCAAAAAGCTGGAAGGAGCCGGATGCTCATGGCTCATGCCTGTAATTGTAGCTACTCAGGAGGCTGAGATCTGAGCATCACAGTTCAAAGCCAGCCTGGGCAGGAAAGTCTGTGAGACTCTTTTCTCCAGTTAACCACCAGAAAACCGGAAGTGGCACTGTGCTCGCCTTGAGCTGAAGAGCTGAGGGATGGCGCCCAGGCCCAGAGTTCAAGCCCCATGACTGACAAAAGAAAGAAAGAAAGAAAGAAAGAAAGAAAGAAAGAAAGAAAGAAAGAAAGAAAGAAAGAAAGAAAGAAAGAAGAAAGAAAGAAAGAAAGAAGAAAGAAAGAAAGAAGAAAGAAAGAAAGAAAGAAAGAAAGAAAGAAAGAAAGAAAGAAAGAAAGAAAGAAAGAAAGAAAGAAAATCTGGTAGAGGTTTGGCTGTCATGGTAGAGCACCAGTCTTGAGTGAAATCGCCCTGAGTTTAAGCCCCATTACTGACACAGATAAAGAAAGGAAAGGAAAAAGAGAGTGAGGAAGGAAGGAGGGAGGGAGGAAAGGAAGGAAGGAAGGATTAGAGACAATTTTTGAGGAACATGATGTTCAAAGGGGACCGTGCATGGGGTGGGGGTGGGGCAGGGGCCTGAGCTCTGTCTTCGCTGTGGTGTTATATCATCTCTAGTCCTCCTGCTGTGTGTACCAGCCTCACTATGGATGAGACTCCCAGCATCACCAAGTATCTCCTGGAGGACCTGGCCAAAATGTCAGCTAGGTTTAAAAAACAAAAAGTAAGCCCTTTCCTACGGCGCTCTCTAGGTATTCTCAAGCTCCAAGTCCAAAGCAGCCTGTTTTGGGGTAACCACTTCTCAGTCCCGGCTTCCTTAGCAGTTTTCCGTGGTGAAGCTGAGCTGGCGACTGTGGAGGGAAGAGCGGGGTTAGCAGCTGAAGATGACAGAACCTTCCCCCATTGCCGGGAGACTCTGAGACAGTCACTTGGTTTGAGGGGGAAAAAAGAGTGGGAAAGAGCCGTCACTGACTGATGGTACTGGAGGCCTTTTGCTAGGTGCTGAAAACTTAGCAGAGGACTAAGGGAACAAAGAACAGCAAGAAGGCCCAGAGGCCATTTGGGGAGAGAGAATATACCAGTATAGCAGGAGGGGAAGAGCCGAGATAGAAAGGGAGGCAGGGGTCCAGGAAACTGAAGCAGGGGCCAGGGCTATACTGAGCCCCAGCGGGAATGCAGGCCAGGACTCCAGATGTGGACAAGGCCCAGTTTACTTGGTGTGTGCACATGGGCGTAGAAACACAAGGAGCTTTGACTCCAGCTCCTCCAGCTAGAGGATTAGACTCATCCCTTTTATGACTTGCTTATCTGCAGGATGGGGTTGTTGTTCTAAACAGCGTTTAGGCTAAGGTTCAACTAGAAAGAGTAGGTGAAATCATCTAGTGTTGTGTAGATGCTCTTTTTTGCTTTGTGATTGTCACTTGAAGGTCACCCCTATGGAGATCACTGGGGTGAGGCCTTCTACTGTACAGTTCCTTCCACTCCGTCTCAGTGTCCACCAGAGAGATCCATGAGGTGTCTCTTTGGACAAGTGCAGTCAGTAGGCTACCACTGTGGTGGAAAAAAATATCAGGTACTAAATCCGAATTGGAATGAGCCACCTGCCAATGGATGTCTAACCTACCAGTCTCCAAGCTTTACAATCTGACCACCTATGTACATGCCTTTCCTTGTCCAGGCTTCACCAATGTTCTCAAGATCCTGACCAAAGAGAGCAGTCGCGATGAGTTGCTGTCCTTCATCCAACACTACGGCTCCCACTATATCGCTGAGGCCCTGTATGGCTCAGAACTCACCTGCATCATCCACTTCCCCAGCAAGAAGGTTCAGCAGCAGCTGTGGCTCCAGTATCAGAAAGGTAAGCCCAGAGTGCGTTTCGGAGGTGGTGGTGGGGAGGTGTAGTAGGCGGCAACTGCAGAGACAACTGAGCAGCCTCAGATGTAAATCTTGGCCCTGCTATGTATGCACATGTATATATACACATATATGTGCTTGTAAGTGTATGTGTGTATACACACACACACACACACACACACACAACGGGCAGTAGGGAGAAATGATTCCTCAGGATTCTTTTCAGTATATGTAATTCCTGAAGCCTCAGGCCTCAGTTTGCCCTAGACTACAGATCTCAGGTTTACTATAGGCTCGATGTTTAAGATTCTTCCATCTTCAAGCAGGGAGGAGAGGGAGAAAGATCAAAGACCACTCGGCAGTGGTCTATCCTTGATAGTCTTCTTGGGAGAATCCAGGAGGAGTTTGTGCTCCTCTGGAAAAGCTACATCATACCCAATCAACAGTGATAATTCCTCTGCATGCACAGGCCCTGGGGTTTACACTCAAGGCCTGCACTCTGCCCCTGAGCTTCTTTTGCCCAAGGCTAGCACATTACCACTTGAGCCACGGCTTTACTTCCAGGTTTGTTTGTTTTGGGTTTTGTTGTTGTTGTTGTTTTGTTTTGTTTTTTTTGTCGAGCATGGGGGTTGAATTCGGCCTGGGTGCTGTCCCTCAGCTCTTCAGTTCAAGGCTAGCACTCTAGCACTTGAGCCACAGTGCCACTTCCGGTTTTTTCTGCTTATGAGGTGCTAAGGAATCAAACCCCAGGGCCTCATGCATGCAAGGAAAGCACTCTACCACCTTCCCAGCCCCCAGTTTGTTTGTTTGTTTGTTTTTATGGTTAATTGAAGATATGAATCTCACAGACTTCCTGCCCAAGTTGGCTTCAAACCACAATCCTCAGATCTCAGCTCCCTGAGTAGCTAGGATTGTAGGCATGAGCCACCAGAGTCTGGGTGGTATTACCAGAGTTAGAATCCCACCACTGCAGGTTCAAGAAACTAGTCTGCCATTGGGAAAATCCATTTTTTCCTGTAAGTGTTCCCTTCCTGTGAAATGAACACTTAAGTGGCAATTTGTGTCTATTTCCCACATTAAAGGAAGAAGTGGTTTGTGGACTAGCATTTTGAGGAAGTTAGAAACATTGCACCTGGGGGCTGGGAAAGTGGCTCAGTGGTAGAGCGCTTGCCTTGCATGCATGAGGCCCTGGGTTCGATTCCTAGGCACCACATAAGCAAAAAGAAAAAAGCCAGAAGTGGCACTGTGGCTCAAGTGGTAGAGCGCTAGCCTTGAGCTGAAGAGCTGAGGGACAGCGCCCAGGCCCAGAGTTCAGGCCCCATGACCAGACCCCCCAAAAAAAGAAAGAAAGAAACATTGCACCTGTACTTGCAGATGTTGGTAGGTCCATGTATGGATACTTCTGTTTCACATTTGAGAAACTGAGACTCAAACATGCCAAGTCAAGTACCCATGGGTACACAGCTAGTAAATGGCAGAACCAGGGCACAGCTGATTTTGTGGCAAAACTCCATGTTATTTCCCTCTTTTATTGCAGAGTTTCTTGGTATAATTAGTACTATTAATATGAATTATTTACCTAATAAGAGAAAGGCTCTTAAGGTACAAACTTACTTCCGACTTGTTTGTATGACTGAGCCATCTTATCTCCAAAAACTGAACCACTCGTCATTCATCAAGCATAGATGGTGTGAGAGCCAGATTGGACTTTAAGGTCACACTGAGCTCTGCCTTCCAATTTTGTTTGTGCAAAGACACATATCCCCTTGGCCAGGCACAAAGCAGAGCTCTCTCCACAGTCTCTTATTTATTTTATTATCTTTAAGTAGTTGTGCAAAGGAAGTATTTAAGCAAGCAGCTTATGAGTACAATGCCTTTCAACATTCTAATGCTTTCGCCAGCTGCTCTTTGTCTGTGGGTTGAGGTCCTGCGTTGGCCTTTGTTTTCTCCAGGCCTCCCCCTTTTGCCTCTGGAGGTTCTACACTACCCTACTCATGCTTGCACCCCTGCCTGCTTCTCATACGCAGCTATGAGGCATGGATGGTTTATAGGCTCAGAAGACATAATTGAGTTGTCGGGGAATAGCTTGGTTTTATGGCTGTGACAATGACAGTCTTTAAGGAAGTGCATTAAATCAATAGAAGTCTCATTGTGCTGCCCTATAAATAATGTGCCACATCATTAAACAGGGCAATAAGCTTCAGGAGTTTAAAGCAATACAATTAGGTTATGTTTATAAAATCCTTCGCTCACTGTGGCCACTGAACTAATTTCCTTAGTGCCATCTTCAGGACCCGAGACGTTACTCTGATACTAGCTTCCATCCTGTTTTCATCATTGGTTGCTTCCAGGACTCAGACCTCCTCGTTCCAGAAAATCTCATTCCATAGGTAGATGTTAGACAAGAATGTGTTGCCTATGTAAGGTGAGAGAAGGGGCAGGAAGAATGCCACCACAGGGCCTCCCTTTAGGTCTGGGTTGCTACAAACTTGTTTGAGTGAACTTGTGTGATTTCTGAGTGACCTTGAACTTTGAGTGATCGTTGAACTTGGAGTGATCTTCCATGATCCATCCTTGCTTCTGAGTAAGCTGCTAAGATGAGTGGAGGTCCACTTGAACCACTCTCATTGTGTTTCTTCCTCTCTGGCCACTCAGATGGTCCATTGTCCACTCTGGCTTTATGTTAATATTTGGCAAGGATGCTAGGAAGTAATTTACTTCTGTATGAATGGAGGAATGCATCAGGTATGTGCCATTGAACAGATGAGATTTCCCATCCTGCTTCCTCTTCTCATACCCCTGCCAAGTAACTCTGGGCCAAATAACTTCTAAATCTCAGTTTCCTCATGTATCAACAGAGAATAGTAATTTCCTTGCATAGCTTTTGGGAGGATGAGCTGAAATCATGAAGGTAAATTGCCTGACACTTAGTAAATACATGCAATTTTTTTTAAAGTAGCTTGAAATAAAACCACAATGGCTAATGTGTGACCTCAACTTTTATTTCTGCCTGTGAACTATAGATGCCACTGGGTACTTTCTCCAAATGTCTATCTGTCTTTTCCTTCCTGCCTGCCTTCCTGCCTTCCTTCCTTCCTTTCTTCCTTCCTTCCTTCCTTCCTCCCTCCCTCCCTCCCTTCCTCCCTTCCTTTCTTCCTTCCTTCCTTTCTTTTTTACATTTTTTTATTAGCACACTTGAGTTACACAGAGTGATTTCACTGTGATGCTTTCATATATGAATACAATACACCCCAATCAAACCCATTCCCCTTCATGACTCTCCTCCCCTTTCCCCTTCTTGAGACAAATTCAACAAGATTTTCATGGGTATGGAAAGGTCTTAGAAAGTCTTTCAAATCTATTAATTAAGTGAAATCTGAGACACAGATGAAAGATTCCCCTGGACTGAAAGGATCAATCCTGGAAGAGCAGGTTAGGGAACGGACCAAACAGGGCACAGAAAATAGCCACAGACTTCCTTCCAAGCTGCTTGTTATCCTGTTTGTCTACTGACCAAAACAAAGAAGGCATGTGTATTCACATATGTTTTGCAGAACAGAAACCTAGGCTCAGTTAAAAAAAAAAAAAGGTTTCCATGGCATGGTTCATCAGTGAAGGAGCCAAGCTGAACCCAGGGTTTCCTTCCTCTCAGACACAACCTCCCCATTGATAGGAAACAAGCATTCCAGCCCTTCCAGATGTACTAATATTGGCCACCATTCGGATCCAGGGCCACCACTACAAGTCACTGGAAACCCAAGGCACATGGGGTGAAGAAGCTGTCTGATTAGAATATTTCTCAGGAGAGTTTTCAGTCTCCTTCACCCAAGTGGTTCTAAGTGCATTTCTGGGGTGTGCGGGGGAAGGACCCTCACATTTGTCATTCATCAGTTCTTTGGTTCACCACAGTGAACTTCTCTCTGCATACCTTGTGCCAAGTGCTGGAGCACCTGAGTAGGTAAGACGTAGGTTGATTTAGTCTCTCAACATTTCATTGTTTCGTTATAGATTTTGTTGGTTTTTTTTTAAGTCTACTTGTAGGCAATTGGGAAAGGGAAGGGACGTGCACATTATCATGGCCAGTAGCTCTCCTGTATCAGTTCTGACCATTTAAGGCTTCTCTAGACCACTTAATGGCAGTCATTGGGATCATTGAGAAAGAGCTCTGCAATGTTTGTTCTAGGTTCAGGAAGGGAATACATTGGTTCCTACCCTGTAGATTTTCTTCTCTGCCATAGGAAAATTAAAAGCTAGAATAAAAAGGACCTAACTTCTGATGCTGACTGTAGAGAAGGCCTGGACATGCTAAAATGATGGGAAAGATCCAGACAGGCAGGTAGAGTTTTCTATAACCAGATGGGAGTTTGGGGTTTTTCCATCCATTGAAAGAGGATGGAAGCACTAGACGGATCAATAAGGTAGAGACCAGTTGGATTCCTAATCTGGGTAAAGATGGGTTTCAGGAGAAAACTGGAATACTGAAGTCATTTCCTATGATACAAATCCTGAATGTCATTAGCTTTGCCTGTTGGAGTCCTTCAACCAATGAAACAAGGTTTTTAGATCCCAGGCCCAAAGGTCAGGAATCGAGAGTTTGGTCCAACCTGTCACCCTCCTATGCCAAATGAAGAGACATGGTGAAGGGCAGAAAAAGGGAGATTTATTACATGGCAGCCCTGGGAAGACTGCAATTCGGTACATCTTCAGCCACTTTCAAGATTTTGACATCAGGTTAAATAAGAAGACCTGGGAGCAGTGAATGAGAAAGGTCTGCACAATTTAAACAGTCCCCAGTCACCAGTGTGGCCTGCTTGACCATTATCTCAGTCTTTATCCTTGTGAGAATTCCACTTTACCACTTTATTACTGGAACAGAACAAGAACAAGGTGGTCTCCTGAGTTTCTGGGTGTTCAGCACCTAGGCGCTGTCCCTGAATTTTTCTGTTCAAGGCTAATGCTCTGCCACTTTGAGCCACAGCACCACTCCCATTTTTCTGGTGGCTA